ACAAGCAGCAATAACAGACCTGTGTCATGATCAAGAGAAAGGTAACAAAAACACCAGAAAGAAAGGTCAAGTGCCATCATCATTCAAAATCGCGTGGACTGAGATACATCAGACTGTGTTAGAGAAACTCATTGACCACCTGATAACACCTCCGGTTATGGCATATCCAGATTATCAAAAACCCTACATCGTGCACACTGATGCCTCGAAAGACGGTCTAGGTGCTGTCTTGTACCAGGAACAGGAAGAGACAATGCAAGTCATTGCGTACGCCTCTCGGAGTCTGACGAATGCAGAAAAGAACTATCACCTCCACGCAGGAAAATTAGAATTTCTGGCACTCAAATGGGCAATCACCGACCACTTCCGTGATTATTTATATTACGCGCCTGAATTTACGGTTTATACCGATAACAATCCATTAACATACGTTTTAACATCTGTACGACTTAATGCCACAGGCTTAAGATGGATTGGAGAACTGGCCGACTTTAAGTTCAACATCCGTTATCGTCCAGGAAAACTCAATGGAGACGCCGATGCATTGTCCAGAATGCCTATGAATATTGACGATTATATGAAAACATGCAGTGAAGAGGTTAATCGCGACGCCTTCCAAGCGACTGTTTGTGGAGCAAAAGTACAGGTCGAACAGTTTCAAACACCTTTGCTCTTTCCTCCTGAGATTACTCGAGCGGATGTTAGTTTAAACCAAGCATCTATAAATTTGAAGACAGCACAGAATGACGACGCAGATATTGACCGCGTCATAACACTTAAAATAGCGAACACGTATTTGTCTCCTCATGAAAGAAAGCAGGAAAGCCACACTGTACAGCAGCTGTTAAGAGAATGGAATAAGTTAAAAGTGGGGACTGATGGAGTTCTGTACCAACTAGCAGGAACAGTCCGTCAAGTTGTACTACCTAGACGTCTACGTCAACAAGTTTATAAAGAGTTGCATGAAGAGATGGGTCATTTGGGTTCTGAACGCGTCATTGACTTGGCTTGAGAACGATTTTTTTGGCCTCACATGAAACAAGATATAACTCACTACGTCACGAAAGTCTGTCATTGCTTAAAGAGTCGGAAACCCGTAAGAAACCAACGTGAACCATTACATCCAATCGTAACCACCGCACCCTTCCAAATGGTCTCTATCGACTACCTTCACCTCGAAACAAGCGTAGGAGGCTATCAATACATCCTGGTTGTTATGGACCACTTTACGAGGTATGCTCAAGCTTACGCGACTCGTGACAAATCAGCCACGACCGCTGCAGACAAACTCTATAACGACTTTATCTTGCGCTATGGCTTCCCTGAGAGGATACACCACGACCAAGGTGCTGAGTTCGAGAATAAACTTTTCTTTAACCTGGAAAAAGTAAGCGGAATTAAACACTCTCGGACAACCCCTTATCACCTCGAAGGTAATGGGCAAGTTGAACGATTTAATAGAACGCTCTTGTCAATGCTTCGGTCCTTGCCAGAAAAATACAAAAGTCGTTGGCGTGATCATCTCCAGAACGTCGTACATGCATTCAATTGTACCAGAAATGACGCGACAGGATACTCCCCATTCCTCCTACTCTTTGGCAGACCCCCGCGATTGCCAATTGACCTTATGTACGGTCTGAAACCCCCACCTGGCCATAGCACTTATCCTGAATATGTCAAGAAATGGCGAGAATCAATGTCCGAAGCATACCAACTTGCATCTGAAAAGGCAGAAAAGAACGCTACAAGTGGGAAAGTGCAATATGACAAGAAAGCTAAGAGTACGAGTCTACAACCCGGTGATCGTGTGTTAATACGAAATGTGAAAGAAAGGGGTGGTCCCGGCAAGTTACGGTCGTATTGGGAAGACAAAGTTTACAAAATCGTGCGTCAGAAATCAAATGAGATTCCCGTGTATGAAGTCATTCCTGAGAGTGGCGGGGAGAAGACAAGAGTACTGCATAGAAACATGCTATTCCCATGTACGTATCTTCCTGTGGAGAATCCTAATGTGAAACCAGCTCAGTTAAAAAAGAAAAAGAAGAGTGAGAAGGAGAAACAGGTCACACAAGATTATCTGACAGATAGTGAAGACGAGTTCGAGATTGCTACGTTTGCACCTGAATTAACGCGGACAGACCCAGAGGATGAATTTGTGCCAGTGTCAGTTGAAAATGAAGCCCAGCGGAGTGTTGAGGAAGCTGTACAAGAAGGTGCCACACCAGAAGAACCAGCTCAAGAGAGTCAAGCGGCGACTGGTACCACGGTAGCAGCGGAGGCTGAGACACAAGTTGATTCACACCCAGTTAGTTCACAACGAGTACGACGACCACCAACCAGACTGGGATATGGCAATTTGGGCCAACCAACGGAACATTGGACCAGTATTAACGCGGTACATGCACCTGCCACAAACAACATGTATCTACACCAATACCCTGTGCTCCCGACACCTCCAATACCGTTCTTTCCCCCAATACTTCCTATGTCATTACCTGTATTTCCATTATATTGGTCAAGTTGGCAAGGACCAATTATGCCATCAAACATATGGTGTTAGACACTGATATCAAGAGTCACGAAATCAGAAAACGAAAATTGTTGAAATTGCCATCATGTTGCGAATAATGACTGTTAGAAAACAGAAACAATAAAACTTTACAAGAGTTAAATTTCCAGGAAAAGTTCCTGACCAACAAGAAGTGAAAGCGGGGCCCGAAAAGATAAAGAAACACTTAGTTTAGATTACTGTCTACGTTCAATATTTGTGAGTCTGATCAACTCACACAGTTGACCAAGAAGTAGCCAAGATGAGTACAGACTATAGCGTTAAATGTTGGGCTATATAAAAGATAATAAGGACAGCTTAAATTATAGGAGGGGTGAGTGTAGGATGCCCATTAGCAATACGTCATGTAACATTAGTTAAATAGGAACTATTGCATCATGCAGTTGTGACAGTTACCATAGTAACGAGAAAGGACAGACAAACAGATTTTCAAGATGGCGATTAGTCAACCACGTTGTTATTAATGTTCGCATTGTTTTACAAAATAAATTGTGCTTTCTACTGTTTTAATACTTGAATTATGGAATAGATCGAGAATTTAGTGAGCGGGCAACACAAGTGCCCGAATACATTATTTATTTTCTGTAAATAGTCTAGGACCTGTATATGAGTTTGTATGCATTTCATTTAGGACAGATAATCTCAACTGTTTTAGGGCAAGTTGACCATGACGGTCAACATGGTAACGCTGCCCGAACCCCAATCCGGGACGAAACGTCCGAAACTGACCACACCCAAAAACGACGCTTTCGCCATGCTGCTATCTACTAAACCATAAAAGCTTTGGCTATTCTGAGGTGCTTATATGGTTCAGAGATGGTACTTTTGGGGGTGATCATTGGTAAGTGTGAAATGCCTAGCACTAATATTTCACATGAAAATGACCATGCAATAATCATAGTTAAACGTCAATTTGTGGCTTGCAAATTCAGATAAACAGCAGTGGACTTACATTACCTTTTTCCCTAAATCTTTTTGATAGAAACATAAATAGTACTTATTTAAATATATTATCACTGGTTTGGTGTAAAATAGTTAATATTTTCTGACCGAAATAATAATTTGAAATGTGCCTACCTCCTGCAAATGGACGTATTTGGCCAAGTTCTCCACTTTACTCCGCTATTTATCGGCGATCTCGTCGATATCCTACAAAAAATGTAAATCATCTCAGACATAATGGTATCAAGAACATTTTAAACAAGTTTCAACTTGGTTTCAAGTAGATCATACCTGTTTAACCATCGACAAGGTAAATCCACAACTTTGTCCAAATTCGGCGCCATTTTGTCATCCCATGTCGCTTGTTAACAATTCAGCATTATTACTCTTCCATCCAAGCCATTTCCATTCCACTAATAATAAATTTAACCCTTTATACCAGGAGGTAACTAAAAAATCTAAACAAAACATAAGAAATTCGCCATTTTATCACCCTGTAAAATTTCGCTCACGAGTCTTTCAAAACATTCCGTACAAATATCGCGTGACAAAGTAACAGGGACGTGACAGGAGGGGGTGAATTATTTCACGAAGATAGAAGAAGGCCGCGTGAAATAGACTAAAAGTTAAATACAATCATGCAAATGTTTGTTTTATTTCTTGTAGTGACAAATATATACATTTATTATTTATTAATATGAAAAAGTCATGCAAATTAAATGTTGATTGTTGGTTTTACCATACTGTATGGGCTTTCATTTTTCAAGTCTCTACCCCCCCTGCAAGTCCCTGTTGCTAAACCACGCGAGATTTGTACGGAATGTTTTGAAAGACTCGTGAGCGAAATTTTACAGGGTGATAAAATGGCGAATTTCTTATATTTTGTTTAGATTTTTTAGTTTCCTCCTGTTATAAAGGGTTAAATTTATTATTAGTGGAATGGAAATGGCTTGGATGGAAGAGTAATAATGCTGAATTGTTATCAAGCGACATGGGATGACAAAATGGCGCCGAATTTGGACAAAGTTGTTGATTTACCTTGTCGATGGTTAAACAGGTATGATCTACTTGAAACCAAGTTGAAACTTGTTTAAAATGTTCTTGATACCATTGTCTGAGATGATTTACATTTTTTGTAGGATGTCGACGAGATCGCCGATAAACAGCGGAGTAAAGTGGAGAACTTGGCCAAATACGTCCATTTGCAGGAGGTAGGCACATTTCAAATTATTATTTCGGTCAGAAAATATTAACTATTTTACACCAAACCAATGATAATATATTTAAATAAGTACCATTTATGTTTCTATCAAAAAGATTTAGGGAAAAAGGTTATGTAAGTCCACTGCTGTTTATCTGAATTTGCAAGCCACAAATTGACATTTAACTATGATTATTGCATGGCCATTTTCTTGTGAAATATTAGTGCTAGGCATTTCACACTTACCAATGACCACCCCAATAGTACCATCTCTGAACCATGTAAGCACCTCAGAATAGCCAAAGCTTTTATGGTTTGGTAGATAGCAGTATGGCGAAAGCGTCGTTTTTGGGTGTGGTCAGTTTCGGACGTTTCGTCCCGGATTGGGGTTCGGGCAGCGTTACCATGTTGACCGTCATGGTCAACTTGCCCTAAAACAGTTGAGATTATCTGTCCTAAATGAAATGCATACAAACTCATATACAGGTCCTAGACTAAAATTATATCGTTGGTAGTCATTGCAATAAACTATGCTCGTGTTGATGTCGTATACATTCGACATGTTTAAATTGAAATCAATACGGCTTCAGAAACGGTTGTTAAAACACAGGTAACTATTTCGCATCTTGTTCACATACTGGATGACTTCCCGATGGCAGCTTCTTATAATTATCACCAATGCCGCATTCATCTTGCTGATTTCTTATCTCTTTGCAAATATTTGGGAGTGCCAATCCGTGGGCTCTCATTTGCAGGAATTGGATTAGACACCTTACACATAACAGCACTATTTATTACTTGAGGCTCAGACTGCAGAATTTAAGTCAATTGTGCAAAAAGGTAATCCAATCTTCGATTGGCTTGCTTAATTTAGTTTTGCACGTTCTGCATGTGGTCGTGCCACATCGTGCATTGTTACAACGGCTTGTTGATCTTACAAAATGCATCAGCAAATCGGCCCAGCATTTTACATTAGCACCCTATCGCACTCAGCAATTTACAAGGCGAGGCGATGATAATTCAGTGTATAACGTTCTTTACAGATGACGATGCATATAATAAGGCTATTCGGTTCCATTTTGGGATTCGACTGTTATGATATTTCTACATAACTGGTGCTTGCTTGTTTAATTAATAGCATTAAGTATATCTTTATTTCGTACTCGTGGCACATATCTGGATTAAAAAGTGTTTCAGGGAATCCTCGGATACAGGTTTCTACATTGAGACAGCTTGCATCGGCCAACGTTCATTCATCACCAACAGTCATTCCGGACTATCATATATATAACCTCAATTCACATTTCTAAATTTAATTTATCCAGTTTGTTAACAACAGTGTGTACAACAAATGTTTTGTTGTTTGCAAATGTCATTGCCGGCTGGATGTTAAACTGAAACAGGGTTAAGGTTCACATTTTAGCTGATCATGCATGTATATTTCTCTCGAAACTGGTGATTACCTAGGTATTTTATCTTACTTATTCGTCATCGCTGGACGTTGAACCGACACAGGGGTAAGGTTTACATTTCAGCTGACGATATTTATTTCACTAGAAACTGGTATAATATGGTATTTTATCGCCTTTGGTGACATGTATTCATCATCGGTTGGATATTGAACTGACACAGGGGTAAAGTTCACATTTCAACTGACCAGTTTTATTTCAGTGGAGGCTTGTATATAGTAAACTAGGTAATTGATAGTATTGTTATTATGTAGACAAGTGCAAGTTCATTGCTTTTGATGGACAATAGTGCAAGTTCATTGCGTTCAGTTCAAGATTAGTGCAAGTTCATTGCTTTTGACGGACAATAGCATGTGCAGTGAAACTGACATAGATTGGGGTTTTCATAACATGTGCTATCTGTATATGTAGAAATTTTTCACGATCATCTGCAAACGGTTTGTCATGTTGGGGTGGGGTGTGTCTCCTTTATCCCAAGGAGACTTGTGGCATTAGTAATACCCCCACCTTTTCTGTGCTAAATGTTATATAGTTATTAATTAATGTTTCTTGTTAATTATTAAAAAATGTTTAAAACAATAAAGCGGCTGTGTTGCAAACAACCAGGCACATAAGCCATAATTATGCCATAAAGGCTTTGACTGGTTTTGTAGTATTCGGCAGCACAATCACTGAGCTCAACCTGACAAACAGTTTGCCGATGGTGGTTTAACATATGCAGAGAAGCGATAAAGGAACTTATTGCCACAGCGATAAGAGTTTTTATTGCTTCCCGGAATAATTTATAGTTGAAATTAATTATGTGAAATAAGTTATTTGCGCACGCAAGTTAATTTAAGTATAGTCACGTTTGGAAATTTCAGTATTTATCAATGGTGAAGAGGGCCATTTTTCCTTTCCTATTCCACATGGGCTGCAGTTCACATCACAAAATTGGATAGAAGAGACTTACCCACCCTCCTCCCTGTTGTTGGACGCTATATGTTGAACTTGTATAGATACGTTATGTGTAGTGGGTGTTAGTAATACCTCCACCTTTTCTGTGCTAAATGTTATATAGTTATTAATTAATAATGTTTCTTGTTAATTATTAAAAAATTGATTAATTAAAACAATAAAGCGGCTATCTGCAAACAACCGGGCACATAAGCCACAATTATGCCATAAAGGCTTTGACTGGTTTTGTAGTATTCGGCAGCACAGAAAACTGAGCTCAACCTGACAAACAGTTTGTCGATGGTGGTTTAATATATGCAGGGAAGCAATAAAAAGACCTTTACCTATTGACAGGATGGAGATTTTGTAATGAAAAAGAGGAGGTTTTGGAAACATGACAGCAAAAAGCTGGATTGCGCTGCTGTTATATACATGAAGGAAGTGATAAAGTTTCCAGACTTCAAAGTATGCCTTTGTTCCAGTCTACAATGTGTATTTTGTGTGATGTGAATGATTTAAATCGCCATGAGAATTCTTTACTCCAGAAATAAATTTGTTCATGTATTCACAAGGTCTTTTAAATTGCACTTGCCCAGCTAAGCTTAAGCTTGAATGACCATGAATATTTTATGATTTATTTTCTTATGCTCAGGTTTCTGTTGATGATAAAAAGAAAAAGAGAGACATGACCTCATTTGCTTTAAGAGAAGAACTCTGAAATGGAACTCCAAAAATGGAACACAGGATTTATATTTCTTTTCCTCGACCAGAACATCATATGATGCATAAAATGTGGCAGGTAGAAGCAACACACATTTCCTACTAGTGTATTTATAATTATATTTAAATTATCCATATAATATTTAATGGTAAAGGACGGGAGGGAGGCGCACGAAACAACAAAGAGCATCACCGAAGCACTTTCCATCATTCAACAATGGAATCCTCAATGGAAGCCTCGCTATTTTATGACTGACCTGTGTGAAGAAGAAATAAATTCCATAGAGTCAGTTTTCCCAGGTTAATTCAACATAAAAAAATATTAGTAATTTTTGAGAAATTAGTACGGTATATAAAAGATATTCATGAGCTTGGATGAAGAATCACGAGCTTGGAAGAACTATTTACATAAAAAGAATCTCGACATTTCGAGCGATTGCCCTTTGTCAATTGCCACCATCTGATTAATTTGTTTGACTTATATATTTAGATTGCCGGGTGTTATTGTGTGATTTCCATTGTGAACAAGCATGGGAGCGTTGATTGTGTGATTATGTGATTTCCATTGTGAACAAGCATGAGCCATTCCAGAGAAACGTTGCTAGCCTTAATGATACAGATAGCTCGGTCAAGGACAGAGGAATGTTTTGAGAATTTGTTACGATATTTACAGGAGAAAACCAATCGGAAGGCCAACACAAATCTCAGACGATGGTTTGCAAATACTTGGTTACAACATAAAAAGGTCAGTAATGCCATGGGTCTTTCATTGAGGGCTTAAACTTATTCTGCTGGTCTTAGCACTTAGTTTAGCACGTAAATTCCTGTAATACATTTCAATCCTAAAATTTACTTAAGGATTCAACTTCGCCCACAGTGTTGATAAAAAACAACAGTGGGACTTGATAAAAACACTTTGATGTTTTCGTTAAACATGTATTTTGAAGTGAACGTAGTACTTACTCACTGTCAAAATAAGACGTACAAACAATCTCAAAAGCGTGCAGCAAATTACCCTGACAGGGCAAATCAATTTATTATTGTATTAAATTTTTCATAATGTAGAGATGGGTATGGGCACATAAAAAAGAACGGATCCTGGTATATGTCAGCACAAACAATGGGTTAGAAAGACAAAATGGTACGTTTAAGCACAAGTACTTGCAAAAATTGCGGAAACATTCTCTGAGTGCTATGTTGAAAATTTTGATAGAGGAGTTTCTTCCAGATAAGTATGAGAGGTATGTGAACTATACAAAAACACTGGTGAGTGTGAGTTTTTCCAACTGTAGGACACTTAGACCCTGTTCACACGACACAGGCATAGTTCAAAAACAAAACAAAATTCTTATGTTTAGGGGTTGCATTCACACAATGCCGGTATGAAAAAGTGTGAAACCGTAATGCTACCCGTAAGAGTTTGAAAACGATATGCAATTCTACGGTCAGAGTGCTGTGTGAACACCTAACCGTAAGAATTTCATTACGTTTATGCAAAATGAAATTAACAAAACTGCAAAATGATTTGTCCAGCATATTGTCAAAGCGGAATATAATCTGCCAGTATCGTGTGAACAGTTGAAACTGTGATGATTTTCTGCTGGCACTATTCCATGCCGGTATCGTGTGAATGGGGTCTTAGAGAGAAAACTGCATGGGTAGTGCTGTGCATATAATATACATCAAGACAAATATCTTATTACAGTATGTGAAATGATATTGTCATAATCAACACAATTTTTATCACTGCAATAAACCTACCCAAACATAATAAACCAACTAGAGTAGTACATGGTTATCTAATTTCTCTATTTCCTTGCTAGTTATATTAGTAACAATAAAGACTGTTCGACTGGTTATAAATGTTATAACAAAGTACCACCATATTTACATAACCATCCAAATTATTTGGAACACTGCTTACAACGCCTTGTTTATGCCGATGAAGCCACAATAAATACGATTAACCAAAACACTGGCATATTTATAGTAAAAAGTGAAACAAATAACTGTTATTACAAGGTACATTTTAATTCTAAAAATGATGAAAATATACCAAGTTGTGAATGTCTGGACTGGCAGAAAAACTATCTACCATGCAAGCCTATACTTTCAGTCATTCACGCCAATAATGGATGGGATGGTCTAATTTACCAGCGTGCTACAGAGAGTCACCTTACCTCACCATAGACAGCAAGGTTATCTTTAAACAAGTCAGCCACACCAAAAACGAAAATGACGATCACACCCCTAACACCTTAAATTTCGATGAACAAGAACTTTTAAGGTTACATGACACCCTTTTTGGTGTTTTGTGGAAAATCGCTACAGCGTGCTCAAAATCAGTCCGATTTTCACCTAATGTTAGCCAGTGCATGTAAAATATGATAAAGTTGTAAAATTGACAAACAATAAAATGTAAGAATTATTCAGGAAAATCTTAAGTCGTGGTACCTTTATGCTTTTGAGTTATGTTCCTGCTGGTTTTAAGATATATTTATGAAAATATCATTTTTATACAGTAAAATAGTTCTAAAAAATTGTGTTCAGAAATTTTTGTTTATTTCGTCATTCCGCTGATATGGCGATTTCTTTGACGACTGCAATATATTTCTGAATCGTTTGTGTGAATTGCTCCTTATTATTAAAATATCCAAAATTAGAACAAAGCCGAACACAATTTTGAAACTGACATCTTTAGCTATGTCCTGTTAAAATTTGAGAAAAATTTGTTAAAACACGCAGGAGCACAACTCGTTTAAAAATCTGTAATTGCCGTAAAATTCTTCGGGAGAAAATTAAATTTGAATATTACATTTTCAATGTTTTTCTTATTGCAAGCGAAATGTATTTTATTAAATAACTCTTCGAGTTTTTAACATTTTTCGTCCAAACTTGGTCAGATATTAGAACTGGTCTAATGCTTACATGGAAACCAATAAAAAAAATTTAGGCAAAATTAACACTCAAAGGTGTTCTGTAACCTTAAAGGGTAATAATTTTGTAGAACAATGCTCAATAGACATTAAAGACATCCTAAAGCCAACATTTCCTAAGAGAACATCTGTTACAAGGTGCTGTGACCTTCTTGCCAAAATAAAAAGTTTGGTGCATGAATCTACAAAATCAACAGCGCTAGAAAAATTAGAGAAAGATCTCAAGTTAGTCCTTAAGGACTTTGAGTCTAACATTAGTGAAGGAACCACCACCTCAGGCATAACACTTTCTGCCCCAGACAGGCAAATGGTTCCTCAGCGTAAAAGAAAGAACCAGGAACAGAAACAGGCAAATACTGCATGCCCTTTAAAAAGACGGAAAATGAAAAAATCAACACTTCCAGCTGTAAAACCAAAGAAGGTGCATCCATTTAACAAACGAAGTGGGCAACATGCGCAAATGATGAGGAAACACTATAAAACGAACATGTCCATAGAGGAAATGATGGGAACGGAAATTATGCGACAAAGAGACAATGCTTCTCTGACTTGTCAGATGCCGCAAAAATCAACATATATCAACTTCACTCCCACTATTCGAAAAGGATCACCACTAACAACAATGCTAAGAAATGGTCCTCATTCTTTGTCGTTATTACAACTGAAATCTTTGGAGCCATTTCTACCAAGAGGAACTGCTATTCTTCTAAAAGCGCGAAACGAAGAATTTAAACCGGGGTGGTTATTTGACAAAGTGCTCAATTGATACTTCTGGCTTCTACAAGAAAATCATCAAAATGTGCTTTATGCACAATCGACATCAATGCTTGCACTGCAAAAAGGTTTGCCATGTGGACGGCTATGTAAAGGAGAGGTTCTTAGAAATAAGGACTTTATTTTTGCATCCTTGAATCCCACTATCACTGGACCCTTGTCGCTATTGATTTACAGCACAAGCAAATAACTTTATTTGGACCCATTGATAAATGTTGATGTTCATCAGAATGGCTTTGCTCAATTGCTATCCACATTCATGCCACAAATACTTTGAAGAACAAAGAACATTTGGTTTGTCAGGCTTTGAAATTGGGTCTTCGCCACACACCCTACAAACAAATTCCATCAACTGTGGAGTACTTGTCTGTTGGTATGCAATGCGGCTAGTAAATGGGAAATAATGAACTGATTGGTGTAATACTAACTTGATGCGAATTACTATTTATAAACAAATTTGTGGTACATGTCTACAATGACATTCTGGGTGTTGACATATTGAATTATCCAAGTGTCCAATATGCAAAGTCGAACTACAAATGGGTGATACCAGATTCCAATGTAGAAGATGTTGCCAGAGCTACCATGCTATATGTTTGAAAGCAGATCAGAAACCTCCAGTTAGAGAACAATCCAACAAATGGGTATTTTATTGCCCACCTATACATGTAACCTTTATGGGGACAAGTACATCAGTCCTAGAACAAGTGATGGAAAAATACTTTAGTTAATAAGGGAATGTTAATTTAATATGACAAGGAGGGGGAGTGAAGATTCTGAGGGGGGGCATTAGAAAAAATTTAGTGCAGCAAGGAGGGGCTTTAAAATTTTTGAGGTTACGTAGGGGGGCTCTTGTTTTTCCAACTACTTTAACTACCTATTTCCAGTTAATATGTGATACTGTATTTTGAATGTTTAGGTCTATTTAAAGACAATATTAAATAAAACTGATTAAGGAGTGACAGGTTATATTTAATAGTCACTATCTTCATCCATTTCAAAGCTGTCAGACTCATCATCTCCGGGCTCTGTAATCTCGTCATCCACTTCAGAGCGATCTGAGAGTTCACTTTCAGACTCCAGGCTGGTCCTTTCCTCCTGACTCTTTACTGTGGTGGCCTTTTTGGCTGCTGCTCTTCTTTCCAGAAGTATATCTAAAAGTCTTTTTGCTTCTTCCATGTCATCAACTGTGCCTTGAGCAATCAAGTATTCACTGGCTTTTATGTGGAATCTGGGTAGGAGCTGTATACTCCCCAGTTTTTGTGTGCTAACTTTTTGAGTGTTTCCTTTTATAAGAAAGGCATCAGCAAATTCTTTTCCATGTATTTTCAATATAAGCTTGTTTCTTTCCCATGTTCATTTGTGTTTTACGAGCTTTTCTCCTTTGCTCTTTTCTTCTCCTGGTTAATCCTCTTCCTTTCTTCTCCTGAAACTGTATCCTTATTGAAGCGGGCACTTAAAAGCTGCCAGGTGTTAGTGATGGAAGAGTGAAGACAAATGAGATTCTTGTTAAGCTTTTCAAGCTTTTCAAGATGCTGAGTAATATAGGAAATTTCATCACCTGCCCACTGCTTAGGTACATGATTACAATCATACAGTTCATTATAACGCTCTTGCAACCTGTGCTTGATGGCACCGAATTTCTCCTCTAACGAAGACAATTTGAACATGGTAGATTTGGCTCTCTCCACATCTATCGCCACGGGCCTTGGAGGAATTTCCTGGTACTTTTTGACGTTTAAATCAAAACCGTCATTTGTGTTGAACTTCAGTATTGTATCTAGCTGAGTAATATTATAACAAACGTACTTGCAGGGAGGTGAGTCCGGGATTGGACGCACCGAGGGTGGCTGGAAGTTTCCCGAACTTACCGAGCGAAGCGAGGTAAGTTCGGGAAACTTCCAGCCACCCGAGGTGCGTCCAATCCCGGACTCACCGAACCTGCAAGTACGTTTGGTTTTTATCCCATACACCTAGCCATACACACATTTGTAATTGTAGCTCTTCGCGATATATTCGTCGATATTTTGTGAACATTTTCCCGGCCAAAAAATCACTGGGCAAGAAAATACTTCTTTATCTACGTCTACATTACCTTTACTGCATTTTTCTTTGGTTTTTCTTCAGTCTCAGTATGTTAGTCACCGAAAAAAGTTCTTTAAATTTAGGTTTATCGGCTAAATCTTGTCCGCCATATTTGTTATTGTTATTGCAACGTAAGCAGTTTAGCGGGTGAGTTCGGGCGAAAAGCAGATGAGTTCGGCAAAAAGCAGGTGAGCTCGACGACAAGCTCACCTGCTCTAAACCAATCAGAAAGCCGCTTTTAACACAGGTATGGGATAAGAGTCCGAGTCAATGTCTCGAATCGTTAAAACACTGCTGTTATAACTGTGTCAACAATAATTTTGACTTATAGGTCACTGGTTGGTGGTGATTTTGCTAATAGATGAGTAATCCCAAAATACAAACAATTAATGTACAAATACAAATTGTAACCAGAGTATTCCAGACAGTGGCGTAGGAATCGGGGATGGGGGCACGAGGGGACGCACGTGCCCTCCCCACCCAATTTTTTCAAATGACTAAAAGTTCCCTTTTTTGTGATGAAAACTGCTATTTTGGCTAAATTAACATTAACATGCTAATTAACATTAAAGGCGCCCGTTTTGTTTGGAAATATCCAAGTTTAAAAAAAAAATTGGCCAAAAACGAGCAATTTCGATATGGTACGACGGGAAACTTTTTCTTCCTTTAAAAAGCGAATACTTTAACTTTAGTTGCCGTGTTTTATCATATATATATATATATATATATATATATATATATATATATATATATATATATATATATAAACAAATAAATAAAACCAAATATATATACATATACATATATACATATACATATATACATATATATATACATATATATATACATACATATACATACATATACATACATATACATATATATACATACATACATATACATACATATACATACATATACATACATATACATACATATACATACATATACATACATATACATACATATACATACATATATACATATATACATATATATATATATATATATATATATATATATATATATATACATATATATATATATATATATATATATATATATATATATATATATATATATATATATATATATACCGGGTGTCCCAAAAAAAAGTACTCCGGTTTGATTCGTAATAACTTCGAAACAAGTAAAGCTTTTAAAGAGAAATAACTTGCATCAAATAGAGGAAGCCTTAACTTAGATTTTGATATATTACACTTGTGTTTCACTTAAAAATTCGCGGAGATATTAATGTTTAAAATCGGGAGCATATTTCTGGATGTGTCTGAAATATGCAAAAAACGGGGTATCAAATATTAATCAAGATTGCCCGACTGAAACATGCACTATTACCAGTAAATAAATGACACTTGGCAAATTGTTTATTATGAAACAAAGTATTGTTATCTACAAAATACAAGGAAGATTTATTCGTCCGAAATCCGCGTGTGTTCCTATAGCACGAGTACGTTTCCTTATTTCATAAGACCACTGACTGCATCGCGAAGGATCGTCATGGATCGTTCGTTTTCTGAATTAGGGGATGCTGTCACAATGGAATTGTGAAGCTCTTCTAACTTTTGCAACGTTCTGAAATCTTGTTAAGAACACTCAATCTTTTTTGCTTTTTCTTAATCTTGGCAAGTTCAGAATAAACTAAGAATGGAACACAATCAAACCATACAACTCCATAAGACATAACAAGCAACTCCCCAGAGACATCCAACATTTTTGGAACAAAACGTAACAAAATAGTAGCGTTATAATTGATACTGTGATGTGTATTTGCAAAATGCAGTATTATTTCCTTCATTAAAAAATAATATTCATCCTGCTCTAATCGAGAAATATTCAACTCTGTTTTCAACCCATGAAAAGCATAAAAAATATAAGCTATTTAAGAAAAATTTAAGCGCCTGCCTTGAATGGTCTTTCATGTACCTTTAAGTTTGTATTAAAGACCTATTAAATACTTTACGTTTATATTTCGTAATATAATACGAACGTTTATATTTCAGGAAACAATGAGCTTAGATGTAAGATGTCTAAATCTACGCCATATCCCTATACAATCCCTGACGACAATTCGCTGAAATACAAGTTAGCCTGATATGTCATTAAACAAACAAACGCTGGAGTTAATATTTGATATGCCGATTTTCGCTAATTTTAGACACATCCCAAATTATGCTCCCGATTTTGAACATTAATATCTCCGTGAATATTTAAGTAAAATACAACTGTAATATATAAAAATCTAAGTTAGTCCTTCCTCTATTTAATGCAAGTTATTTCTGTTTGATAGCTTTACTTGTTTAGAAGTTATTATAAATCAAACCGGAGTACTTTTTTTTGGGACACCCGGTACATATACATACATATACATATACATATACATATACATATACACATATACACATATATACATATATACATATATACATATATACATATATACATATATACATATATACACATACATATACATACACACACATACATATACATACACACATACACACACACACACACACACACACACACACACACACACACACACACACACACACACACACACACACACACACACACACACACACACACACACACACATACACACATACACACATACACATACATGTTTGTCTGGCCGCTCTGGTTCTGTCCAGGGACCGCCCTTGTAACAGGAGACAAGATCTATTTGTTGACATTTTTGTCAGCTTCAGATGACCAGTCATTTATAATGATCAAGAATGTAGACAGAAATTGTGCACAAGTTCAATGCCAAATGTTTGTGACCAATACAGATTATGCTGATTTTGTCATTCGCACTAGTGCTAAGTCTTCAAATATTCATATTGAGCGAATCAATAAGGATGCTGAATTCGTTGTCAACATGATAAT